AATACCCCCATATTTTGATGGTGCGGGAGGGTGATGACGCAAAACGCTTGTGGCGCGGCACGGCGGGGGGAGGTAGGGTAATGGCGGAGTAATGGTGATCATCTAAGGACAACGCAGCAAAAAAAAGTATGAGTAAATTTGATCCGACCCGAGCAACGAGACGCCCAAAATACCTACCTTATCCGTGAGATTGAGGGAAAGTTGTGGGGGTCCTGGAGGTGAAGTGGAAATAAGGTGGAATAAGAAAGGGGAAAGTGAGAGAGACATGTGGGGGTGCAGCAGAGAGTTGAAATGGGTGATGAAGCTATGGCAGGACAAATGGCATTAAAGTAAGTAAAACCCACTCACTTAACTGCAAAAAAGTAAATGAGAGCCATTCAACAGCTCAACGTAAAAACCATGAGTAGGAGAAAAAAAGAAGGAATTAAGCAAGTTCTGTACATAGGTTGGTCAGCAAACTTCAGTTAAACTTACCTTAAAAATTGTATTTAATCTGGATATATTTGAGTCAATAAATTTTGGTGCAAAGGAAGGGGAAAAAAAAAGAAAAGAGAAATAAAACAATTAAAAAAACAGTTACGTTAATAATTTTCTCATCTTTTCAAAATTAGCAGAAAGAGAGATCAAATTTACCATTAGCTTTGTTTCATATTGACATAAAGATGCTAAATAAAAATGTTAGAGACATAAATATTCACTTATTACTGACTTTTAAATTACAGCTGGTAAGGAAATGGAAAAGCTGGGCAAAAATAAGTATCATAGAGCTACTTGAACAAGTGGAAAATCAAGCTATAATGGAGAAAGGTTATAGGCAAAACCATGAAACAAATTTGGAAATCCATGGAAAAGAAAATGATCGCAATGGTACAAAATGAAAGATACATTATGGGGTGAAATCAAATAAATATCTCTGGGCCTACTGAAGGATTAAAAAAGATAGAAGAATCAATTCTGTAAATATTATTAATATCAAATACCCCCAAATGTTTAGACTGAGTTTGAATGAGGTATGAATGTTTATGTTGTCATCACCAAATTAGATATAGATAGAGAAGAGAGGGAGGGGAAAAGAAGAGAAGAGGTAGGAAAGCTATATGAAAGGCACAACTATAAGTCTCTCTCCCTCCTTAAGCTGCTGATGTAGGTGTTTATAGATGTATTGTTAAATTTATAGTAAACTATTATTAAAGAAAGGAAAATAAATAAATGATAATAGAGGTATCAGAAATAAATTATAGCCTGATGCTTAGCATAGTCTAAGAAAAAATGAGATGATACCCATCTGATATTTAAAAAATAAAATAAAAAAAAACAATAATACCCCCATATTGTTATAAGGGACGTTTTAACCCCTGAAGGACTGAGCCAAATGTACACGTTGTGATCAAAACAAAACCTGGAAAATGACTATATGTCTGTTTAACCGTAATTCACCTCTTTCATATTAAGTGCACCCACACTTATTATATATCATTTTATTCAGGGTAAACAGGGATTTCACTTAACATCAAATATTTAGGTATGAAACATTTAATATGAATAAAATATAAAAAAAAAATGGGAGAAAATAAGAAATATTTACTTTTTTTTTAGTTCTATGTGACATTTTAACTGTGAATGTTATAATACTGTTTGCTTTTACTGCAATAAAATACACATATTTGTATTCAGCAATGTCTCACATGTAAAACAGTACCCCCTATGTACAGGTTTTATGGTGTTTTGGGAAGTTACAGGGTCAAATATAGCATGTTACATTTTTCAGTTTTTTCATTGAAATTCGCCAGATTGGTTACGCTGCCTTTGAGAACGAATGGTAGCCCAAGAATGAGAATTACCCCATGATGGCATACCATTTGCAATAGACAACACAAGGTATTGCAAATGGGGTATGTCCAGTCTTTTTTAGTAGCCACTTGGTCACAAACATTGGCCAAAGTTAGTGTTAATATTTGTTTGTGTGTGAAAAATGCAAAAAACTAATTTGAACGTCAATTTTGGCCAGTGTTTGTGACTAAGTGGCTTCTAAAAAAGACTGGACATACCCCATTTGCAATGCATTGGGTTGACTACTATAGAAAATGGTATGCCATCATGGGGGTAAGTTCCATTCCTGGGCTGCCATACGGTCTCAAAGGCAACGTAACCAATCTGGTGAATTTCAATGTAAAAAAAATAAAACGCAAGCCTTATATTTGACTCTAACTTTTGAAAACACCATAAAACCTGTATATGAGGGGTACTGTTATACTCGGGAGGCTGAACACAAATATTAATGTTTCAAAACAGTAAAAGGTATCACAACAATTATATCGTCAGTGTAAGTGCCATTTGTGTGTGAAAAATTTTAAAAATTTCACTTTCATTGACGATATCATCGTTGTAATACATTTTACTGTTTTAAAACACTAATATTTGTGTTCAGCGAAGTCTTCCGAGTAAAACAGTACTCCCCATGTACAGGTTTTGTGGTGTCTTGGAAAGTTGCAGGGTTAAATATAGTGCTAGCAAATTAAATTCCCTGGACTTTCAGCCTGGGTTGTCAGGCAGGTCCCGCAAATTGTAATTAATAAAACAACCTAATTATGTAAAATTATTACATAAATATATTTGTAGAATTATTATTATATATATATATATATATATATATATATATATATATAAATATGTATATGTGTGTGTGTGTGTGTATGTGTATATATATATATATATATATATATATATAAAATAATATATAAAAATAATTTAAAAAATATATATATGTATATATATATATAAAAATGTATAATTATTTTATTTATATATAGTGATATATCCGTATATACTTATGTATATAGATATATATATTTCGTTCTGTGTATTTTGATATCAATTTATATATTAATATCAAAATACAGTTAGAATTACACATATATATTTTTTTATTTTTTAACTTATTTACATATTTATTTTATATTATATATAAATATATATATAATTAAATATATAATGTATTTAATCAATATCATATTACGTGTATTTTGCCGGCGGGGGATCACCGGCGGGGGATCACCGGCAAGCAGGTAAGTAAAAAGGAAGGGGGGATGTGCATTGCCGCCCACCGGCGTTTAGAGCCGGGTCCCCAAGGACGGCATAGCACGCCCGCCGTCCTTAAGGGGTTAAACTTCCCTTTGTCCCCAAATGGTTTGACAGGATGGGAAATTTCCACTGTTTATTAGTAGCAACTGGATGCCATGGGAAGAGGCCCATAAAATATCAAGGGTGGTGGACATAGTAACCTTCAACCCCTGGGCATCAGGTGGGGGACTTAAAATAAATAAGGGGGTTGGCCAGATCACTGTCCATGCTCCTGCCCACAGCCATGGCCAGGAGGTCTCTGTGAGTTGTGCCTTCACACAGTAGATATGCTTCCAGCTGCTGCATGGCAGGTGTGGTCATAGGGAAGTTTCAAACCTCCCTTATAATTATATGGGGACCCCCACAGTGTTTTAAATGTATTTTTAGCATCTTGGCTCAGAATTGAAGCATTCTTTTTTGGATTTCAAAACTCCTTAAGATTCGGTTTTCTTGCCTATATTCTGCAATATTCTGTGGGGCTAGTCTAAGTCCCTGTATAAGGTGAGCAGGGTACATAGGGGGAGTGCTCTAATTTCCTACCGATAGAGTACCACACTATTGGAGGATATATATGCTTTGTCATTTAGATCTGATTGGAATCCGGTACAGTGCAACAGATTTATTGAAAGTGTACTATAACAAGGTGAGAGCTCCACATAGGGTGTATTTGGTGGAGGTACCTCACTTGAGGATATTACACCATTTCAAGTTTGTATCCTTTTAAATTGCTATTTGAACTGCAACCACAGGAGTGCTGGAAGATTCAGAAGATTTACTTTATTGATAGTTTGTACTGTGCTATTTTTGGATTAATAAGAGACTGCTTTTTACCATATAGTCCTGGTAGATATCAGGATAATACTGGTGTTTATTTGTATGAACTATTTTTTCTGTGAAGTAATATTCCTAATAAGTTCAAGTAACTTTAAATTTGACAGAATGCTCTCTATATATGTGCGCTAACTCACTTTTGTAATTTGTTCATTCAAAAAAAATGAAGGAACAAGTACTCAAACATCTTCCATAATACTACTACTAGTAACATGTTTTAAAGCAGCGCTGTCTTCGTCTGTGGACTTTGTCGAATTCTCAAAGACCACTGACAATGACCTTGTCAGGGGGTACAGTGAGTGGGAGGTTAGAAAGTTAGGCAGAGGAGAAATATACAGAGCCAAAGTAGGGACTACTTTCTATGTATATCTTTAAAATGGGTTGTAATTTCAGTGAAATTCAAACACAGTCAAAATTAGTGTGATGAAACTTCTACTAAAGGCCAATGTGCCTTCATTAAAATCTATTCCAGCTTGCACTCCAAAACTGTGTGTCGTCCTTTTATTGGAGGGAAAGAAGAGTTACTCCTGTGTCTCGTGTTTCAGCTTGCAGGGGATTCAATGGGGAAAGTCCTTGTAAGGACTAGAGATAATTTCCCATTCGGCTCCAGGGCCCCAGTCAAGCCAGGGCGACTGTAGGCAGAAGTGCTGCGGTTTGTCCCCTGTTCCAGCTAGGAAGTGGTCCTTTGGCGGAGGTACCCAGTCGGGCTACAGGGAGCTCTGTTATGTTATTTTTTTTTATTAATGTGATATTTTTTATTTTATTTTAACAGAAACGTTACTACAATGGTTTCATTTGGAAAATGCCTCTGCACAGATGGAACCATGTTTTACTGAAACTCATCTAAGACAGTTGGTGGCTACTGAAGTTCCCAGCACTGATGAAGAAAGGAGAAGAGTAGGAAACACAAAAAGTTTTTAAAAAAAAATTTATTTACAAGAATACAACACGTTCTCTGTATATTTTCAATGGTTAAGCGGAACTGTCAGCGTCTGTGGACTTTACAAAATTCGCAAAGTTCCCAAACAGTGACATTCCCGATGCTTGTACCGTAGTCGCAGGGGGCAGATAAGGTGAGAATTACTTAACTGAACCTGTCCCACATGGGCGTCATCCTCTTGATTGTGCTGCTCCTGCCAAAATTGTTCTAAGCTCCATGCAATCCAGTTCAACTGTATCCTTTTGGGCCTGTATTTCAAAACTAGGATATGGAATGTCTCCATACATCCTGTGTGACAGATGTGGACTAAGTGATCAAAATACTTCACTTGTTGACCGTTTCTAAATTTAACTAGATTTTGATATGCTTGTGATTGTGGTTTCAACCATAAATCTTTTTCAATCACTTCTTGTGAGAGTGGTCTCTGCGAACAAGCATGGCACTTCTCTGCACCTTCCCATTCGTGGCAAATGGAAATGTGACAAGAGAAATGTCATGACAGTTTTTTTTTTTTTTTTAGAAATTGTCACAAGTTTCTTTGTGAGATTTTTAGCTTAGTGCCATACATCAAATTGAGGTGTAATGTCACTATACTTTTCAATCAGTAATTTGCAGATGCCTACATGACAATTAGTAGCGATCATTGTGACATCAAGTTTTTCAGATCTCATTCTATCCAAACAAATCTGAAAACCTAGTTTTTCCCACGACAATGGAGGATGTTATCTGAGACAATTGTGTAATTTCAAAGTTAATTATTTGTTTTAGCGAAAACATCCATGAAAGTTTAAATGCAGTATTTAGCACGAAATTCTGGACTGTCATATTGACCATGTTCACTCAAGCAGAGTGGAAGGTCATTCCACGGGAGTCTACAAGATTCTTTCTCCAACTGCCAATATAGTGCTAAAACTGGGAAAAGGTATTTCCATTGGTAACAGCAATAACCACTTTCTGAAATACGTTCTAATCCAATAATGTTGAACATTTCATGGCATAGATTCTTAAAACACTCTGTATACTTTCTAAGGAAAACAATCTTAGATGTACAGTTTGTTTTTTCTGGCATGGGATTTTATAGCATAATGAATTTATACAATATTCAAATACTACAAATTTGCGGCCATTAACACACCGGAATTCAAGATTTAATACTACAATGGTTGAATATAAATCGAAGGATGTATCCATAGTGCAAAAACTATCCATGACATAGTTTCGATCACACTTGCTCTTTGGAGACATTTAGAGTACTCTCCAAGTCTGTCTTTTGTGACTCCTTAATTGCATCACTATTGTCAATATCTACAGATACATTGGGTAGTTCTGCAATGTCTTGGTTAAAAAATCAAATAGATCCAATGGATCTTCATTTGAGTCCTCTCACAAAGATCCAATGGATCTTCATTTGATTCCTCTGAAATTGTTTTTAATTACAGGTATTTTTCTTTAATTTTACTAGGGATAGAGGTTATCTTAGTTGTACCGAACATTTCAGTCTCTAAGACAACGGGCATGTATTTACAATATGAAAGCTCACTTTTTATTGTATCTAAAAATAGAGCATCATGATTAGTGGATTTGGCAAATTATATTGCCTCTTTCACTGGTATAGTCAGCCTGTAATGATATTTCACTAATACTATTTAAATTCTCTGTTGAAGTTGAAGCATCGCACATAATCTTGGTAACCACCAAGTGCGTTCCTGAGGTAAAGGCCAATGATGTGTATATATTCATGGCTTTTTTTCAAGCCTATAAAATACCTCTTCATCTATGCAAGGAAGACCTGCTTCAAACGTTAATTGTGAAGGCAATGCATCCTGTTTAAAAAAAAAAAGAATACTTTGACCCCCTCAGCTCAAAGGAACTGTCATCAAAATGTCTGGAGCAGATCCGGTATTTAGTGTGATGTTTTTGGTCAGGTATAATATCTAAAATCTTTTTTCAATATTATCAAGATTTTGCCATGCCTGCTCAAGCCACTTCCTGGCTAAATGTCTATTACTGGAAAAGACATGAAGGGTTCCCATTTCTTACTGGTCTGCCACGGCCCCGGTTGACTACGCAGCTCGGCATATTCACCTGAAAAAGTAAAAAAAAAAAACATTAAAATTAGAATTATAAGAAAAAGAGCAGAGGTAGAGCCAACAATTAGGTACACTAAGAAAATGGGGGGTAACCCCAGGTAGAAATTATCAAAAAAGAAAAATAGTGTACCTACACAGTCTTAAATAGAAATCAGAAATTATGTCTGACTGTCAAATCTCAGAGATACTAGACTAGTTGCTACCAGAGATAGTACTAGATCAATAAAATAAAAAAATTAATTTTTTTTTTAATTATAACAAATCTTAACATGTGGTGAATATGCTTGTGTTCCAACAGTGAACATATAAAAGGTATTAGAAATCCATACCCTGTTAAAAATGCCTACTAGTATTATGAATTAATACAGCAATGTAAACAATAAAGCAGGACTGATTGAGACTGCACAGGAAGATTGGTAAGTATGGAGTCCTCACAGTGATTCATCAGTAATAAAAATAAGTTGCTAAGTGGAGATGATGGCAAGATGGTACTACATAGTATAGAAACACTATCTAATCTGCCTAAAGATAACAGTTCAGCAGGACTGATTAAGATGCAAAAGAAAATTGACAAATACCAAGTCGGTGATTTAGATAAGCTGCTGAATGAAGGTAATGACAGAATAATACTAATGGTCATAAACGAGCTTAATTTATCAAGGAGAATTAAACTTATATTAGAAACCTAGATATAGTAATAGAAGTCCTATAGTCAAAACTGTCTATTCGTCACTAGGTATATATGTCTATTAGTGTTCCACTTATTACTCACAGAATACCATATACATGTCAATCTGTAACAGGCAGAGAAGACATCTAAATCGTTTCGCAGGCAGAGAAGGCAGTCCAAAGACTCATGAGAGGGGGGTTAAGTTGCTAATGGGTTCTATAGCTGGATCTCTAAGTACTCAGTGTATAGTATTCTGTTAGTGCTAACTCGTCAAGATCTAAATGGAGACTTGTCAGGATGCTGATAGCTGCACAATCAACTAGCTGTACTTCAAATCCTACAGCTAGCATTCCCCCCGTGCCTTCAAGGGCACCTGACACTATTCCCACTAAGCAACTGCCAATATGATAGTAGAAAAAATTAAATAAAGATGAATTAATGAAAGAAAATAAATAAACTAATAAATCAAATAGCTCGGTCGCAAATTCAAGTGCTGGTTACTGAATTATAGAAACAGCACGCTAGGAACCCCTTTACTTCTATTACTATATCTAGGTTTCTAATATAAAAGTTACATTTTCCTTGATAAATTAAGCTCATTTTTGACCATTAGTATTATCCTGTCATTACCTTCATTCAGCAACTTATCTAAAATCAATCTTTTTCAGTCCTGCTGAACTGTTATCTTTAGGCAGATTAGATAGTGTTTCTATACTATTTAGTACCATCTTGCTATCATCTCCACTTGGCAACTTATTTTTATTACTGATTGACTCCACTGTGAGGACTCCATACTTACCAATCTTCCTGTGCAGTCTCAATCAGTCCTGCTTTATTGTTTATATTGCTGTATTAATTCATAATACTAGTAGGCATTTTTAACAGGGTATGGATTTCTAATACCTTTTATATATTCACTGTTTGTACACAAGCATATTCACCACATGTTAAGATTTGTTATAATTAAAATGTATTTATTTTTTTATTTTATTGATCTAGTACTATCTCTGCTAGCAACTAGTCTAGTATCTCTGAGATGTGACAGTCAGTCATAATTTCTGATTTCTATTTCAGACTGTGTAGGTACACTATTTTCTTTTCTAAAATTAGAATGTTTCAATCCTGATTAGTAAAAACATTATATGTAGCCATTAATAATCTACTGTACCTTAAAATGTATTTGACGTAAAGAAAACAAAAAATCAAACAATGATTCAAGCATTAAACTCCTGAAACAGACAAAATAATGCTTTAACATTTATTAATTATTTCACAGCACTCTGTTTTTTGATATACAATCTATATAATATTTATTTAAGAGTAAAGTGTCATTGCAATGTCTTATTTTACTTTCTGATGTCACTTCAATCTCAGTTGATGTAAAATACTGACAGATAGAAGTCTATACTTTCTTTTAATGTTGCTATAAACTGTGTATAGAATTTTAAATAAAATGATTTACAGAAACCAGTTATTTTTGTAAAGATTACATCTGTAAAAAAATAATCAAGTTGGCGCATGTAGAGTTTGATATATCTATATCTCCATATCATGCTGGTGCTTGAATGCATGTGTGGATTGCTACGGTTCACTGCTTACTACATACTGCTCATTTTAAGTATTTACACTTCGGCAATGTTGTACACTATAGTATGTTGAAGTTCACATGATAATGGGTGTAATACTTACTCGGTGTAATATTGTACACTGCTTGCCGGGGAGGGGTAATACCTCTTTATTGTCTGATTCACAGTGTATTATGAATGTTGAGAAGTGGTATTGTACAAGTTGGCGTTAATAGTTGCATTGATCCTGCAGCCAATGACATATATTTTGTATTTAACCTATTAATACATTTTAATTCTTATGTTCACAATATTTTGCACAGTATTGGTGAAGTCTTATAGGGTTTTCCTTTTGCTTGTTAGTTATTGTATGCACATCACTGAGTTGGTTTGAAATCACTGGTTCCGGGTAACTGCTTTGGGCTTTTAGGTCTGAACTGGCAACATATATTTGAATCTGAGGTATTTAATGGTGTTTGTATTCAATAACAGGTACCACATACAGCACTCTGACATATATACCGAAAGGTAAAAAAATAAAATGATGAAAATTTAAAATAAGTATCTATACTTTTACAAAGATGAAAAAATAATTTATAATAATTGATACTGTACAGTATTTTAAAAGTTATTTTACGCTAAGAAAACCAAAATCAAATGATGATTCAAGTATACAAAATTTCTAACTCCTGAAATAGACAAAATAGTCCTTTAAAATTTACGAACAATTATACGGCACTATTTGTTCTTTAGTATGTATCTTATGTATTTGTTCTAGCGTAGAGTGCCCTTTAAATGTGTTTCCTTTCTGATGTCATTGCATTATCATTTAAATTAAAAAATACTCCCAGAAACAAGTCCATACTTTCTTCCAGTGTTGCTATAAACGGTGTATGGAATTTTATATAGAATGAATTAAACTCAGTGTTTTTTAAAAAATAATTTATCTTTAAAAAATAATCATGTTGGAGGTTGTCTGTAGAGTATAAGATGTCTACCAATCTATCTATTTCATGCTGTACCATATCTCTGCTGGTGACTGAATACATATGTGGTTCGCCACAGTTCACGGCTTACTACATACTGCTCGTTGTTTGTTTACACTTTGGTAATGTACAAAATGTTACAAACTATATTATGATAAAGTTCACGTTAATGGTTTACATTTTTCCTGGTTGTGATGGGTTGCACTGATTATCGGTTGGTAATACCTCTTTATTGAATTTTAATTTTAATAAAGGTGCTGATCCTATGACAAATGACATATTATGTATATAAACTATTAAGACACCTGTAATTAGTTAACAATTTTTTTCAACAGTGGTGGAGGAGTGTTTTAGGGTTTATCGTTCAATTCTTGGTTAGTGTTGATTCTATTTCACTGGTTCCAGGTGATTGCTTTTAGGCTTACAGATTGGATCTGGTAGCATGAATCGGAGGTATTTAATGGTGTATTTAGTAACCGCAAACACATACCACTTTCCACAGCTATAACATTCATCAATATCAGATACCACGTACAGCAAAACCTTTCATCAAAAACATTCAGCAAAAGCATACAACATACAGCCAAAACATTTAGCAACCAAATACTGATTACACATACAGCAATAAACAATCCAATCGTCAAACACATACAGCTAAAACATTCAGCTACCATATATAGCTAACACTTAGATACAGCATACCACTAAGACATTCCACAACCACATACAGATAAAACAACCTGCTGCCACGTACAGCTAAGACATGCTGCTAAAACATACAACTACCACAAACAGCAAAAACATTAGACAACCAGACACACAACAATGTACAGATATCACATACAGCTACCACAAACAGGTAAATATATAGTTAAATAAAATTAGAGAATAAATAGGAAAGAAAGTGAAAATAATTATTAAAGTTAAAAATGATAGAAGAGTTGCTTGCGCATTATACCAAATCCCTGTAATTATTTAAATAATTTGAGTTTTTTTTTTTTTTTTTTGTATTACTCCAATGGCCATTAGGTGTAAGCTCACGTGCCACGTCAACGCAAACCTCTTAGGTGGGTCCAACACTAGCAATTCACCTTGCTTCCTTCAGATTCAGGTAAAAAAAAAAAGTGTTTTTCTAAACCCCTTCATACATATTAACCCTAAATAGGCAACACATGGGGTGGGTATGTGATACAAAAGCAAATACACAAAAATAAGTCCTGTGCTCAGACTCCCACTACTCCTGGGCGGCAGCAATCACCTGGTACACACACCCAATAGCCATTTGAGTGATACTAAAAATCACCAGTTATTTAAATATACGTAGGGATTTAGGATGGTGCGCAAGTAACTGTGGGAGTCTAAGCGTAGGACTTATAACCTAGGTGCTAGGCATAAAGGGTGACTGAGTGTAGTATTAGTGTCAGTCAAAATGGGGTCAGGTTAACTAAATAGTTAAGTGAAATTAGAGAATAAATAATTAAAAAATTAGTAAAAACAAATATAAAGAGATATAAAAATTTATAATACCTCCTTTTATAGCTGAAGGACATACAGGGGTTGCTGGCTATCTGTAGAGGGAGTTTAAGTCAAAATGGAGGCAAGATATAGAAATAAAAATACAGCAATTTGGAGCGTGCGGAGGCCTGAGGAAGGTCAGATGAGCTGGTAGGGGGCTGGAGTGGGAATTGACTGCGTGGGGCAGAGTGGGATGAGGACAGATGGCGGAAACGTCACATCCTGGGAGAGGAAGACCGCGACCTGTGGTAAATAGATCCGGATCCCCAGCAGGGTGGGGTCAATATTGTAGGTAGATGAGTGGGAAGAAGGTTTAAAAGCAAAAAAAAGATACAGCCGTGACATTAAATAATGTTAACAATGTTTGGATTTTTCAATATGAATTGCACTGTATGCAGCTGGATGGGTTTGCATCATTTGGTACAGGGTCATTAGAACACTAGTGAATATCGCCCTAACTATATACATGAATTTAGCACCAGGCTAAGAATGACTGTAACAAGTTATGCAATGAGAGAACAGAGACATCTAGTGGCTACAGAACTGAACATCTAATTTATTACTGTCACAACCATAGTGGAAATATCTGGTTTATAGCCATAGCAACATTTATATTGATATATAGTCTTACTTTATACATTTTGCTTTACATGTGTACACTGATTATTTAACTCATAACTGTTTGCTTGATATTAAAACAATGTAACTTCCTGTAATTTTACCCTATTTTTCATGAAAAACTTCCTGTAGCAGAATTTCCTTTACATCCCAGCACAATAAAAGTAGATACATAAGACGAACTAGGAACTGTTTTAATATATGCCTTTGAAACCTCAAAACTGAAATATTGATTACCGTATTTCACCACATAATAGTCGCACCCTGGTTTTTCAGTCCAAAAATCGGTTAAAATTCAATTCATCATGTAATAGTCGCATAATTGACCATTGCTGTTTTTGTTGTGAGACATTCTTATTTTTGAAAACTGATGGCGAACATCTCACTGATCTTATACTGAAGAAAGGGTTTATTACCTATCAGTTTATTGTATTTTAGGGCACATTATATATGTAATGCATTAAATAAATGACAGGAAGACCGAGATCATGATCAGAGTTTAGGTAATGCATTAGAAAATATGCTGTTATGTTCGCAAATATAATATCAGCAACTGTTAAAAAAAGAAAGCTTTGCATATATAATATCGCAAAAAATAAAGCTTCACATAATGGTCACACCCCCATTTTAATTAAAGGAATTCGGCATAAAATCTGCGACCATTAAGCGGTGAAATACGATAATTTCCTGCTGTGTTGCCACACTTGATAAATGACTGGTAAATGCATCTTTTTGTGAGAAGCATAATAGATTACTATGGCATTTCCTAGAACAGTGTTCCTCCGTTACCCCTCAGGGTACCGCTGAGGGATGATATCCAGATTTTTTTTCTACCTCCAAAAGAAAAATCCAGATTGTGGCCTCCAATGTATCCTACAACTCTTTATTCTTGAATCCCATCTTTTTCACCGCTCTCTCATCTTATTAATTATACTCTGTCTTGTTTTTTTAAGTATCTTTCTATCTGACTCAAGCTGCACTTTTTCACCCATTCCCACGACTAGTCTCTCATTCTCCTCTGGCATTTTCATCTTTGCTAGCATTGCTCATTGAGTGAGGATTCTACATGCATGTGTGCATAGATAGGTGAGACCAAGGTCTTTCAGGTACAGAAGTGTGAGTAAGTTACAGGGAAGAGAATGTGGTATCTTGTTCTGGGTTTAGATGGAACAGGCTGGGCACAGGTGTGAATGTAAAATTGCTCTTTAGCTGACATTCTGTTATGTCCTGTGCTAATGCCAGTTTCTGTGCCTGCGTGAATTTACTATCTATATATAAATTGTCCTCAAGAACTGTTTGTGTATTCTGTGTTCCTGAGATGTCATTTGGTGGAGAGTGGGGAAGATCCTCACCTCTAATTCACTGCCCCAACTGCATAGTCTGTCTTAGAATTCAAAGTTAATTTGCAAAAATATTGTCAGTATTGCTATAAATTCAATAAATGTATCATTAATCAAAAAATCCTTCAGATTATTGTTCTAGCTTGACAGCAACACTTCTCGGTGGCAATGTGGTGGGATTCCAACTTCTCAGGAACACAACTGGAGCAAAGTTTTCTGGTCCTCATGAAACAATTCAATTTGAGTACACTCTATAGTGAAGGTAGGCAACCTTTTAAAACAGCTAATGTATTGAAAGTTTCCTGAGTGCAGTAAGTGATGGGTACCTGAGTGACAGAATCGAATAGATGGTGAAGAATAAGTAATTTTGATTGGCTAAGGTTTCTGTAACTAGATTTGACACCTTACTTTTTCTTGTTGGATTACTTAGCCTATTTTAACTATGATAGTGATTTGAAATAGAAAAGGTATTTTTCTGAAAGATTGTTTGTCCTGGTACGGACACTGTGGATTACCTTGTGTGAGACTGTAATCCTGGTTCTAGGAAAGAGATCCATGCATAGTCTGCAGTATGGTTCTTGCTCTCTTTGCATTGTGAGCAAACTAATGCTACAATCATGGGTCAAAATAGATATCAGAGGATAAACAATGTGTTCACCTGCTAGTTGTATAGGTTTGTACTTTGGATCAATGTTTCTATTGAATCATTTATTTTGTTTAATTTTGAAAGAAGATTTTGATAGCTTCAAAATTCTGAGACTGTGTGCTTCTGCAAACACCTTTAAAGCTATGTGATTTGTGATGGACTTCCATGCTGTGTGGTACGCGAGAGTAACATTAGTGCTGAAATACTTAATGAATAGTCATATACTGAAGCTTCTATCCTGATCAAAAGTTTACTTTATGTGGTGTGAGGTCGTTATAGCCCATGTGGCTCACTAATTGTGAGTTTTTTCCACGGATCAGAAAATAAATTCAGTAGCTTTGACTGAAGCTTGAGAATATCCTTCTGTAACATTGCTTGTAAGTATGTGCTTAACCCCTTAAGGGCACATGACATGTCATGATTCCCTTTTATTCCAGATGTTTGGTCCTTAAGGGGTTAATAATCGCTATTATGATAGAATGCACTTTAAAATGAAGCAAATTCAGGTTAATAAAACTACTCCAATTTATTCTAATAAATCTGGTCCCAATACTTTAACTAATAGAATCTGTTACTAAAAAAAAAAAAGAAATTATATATTTTTTTTTATAAATTGGCAAACATAAATATAGGTATGGTGTGATAAATACTGAAGTTAGCTATAGAATGAAGAGAAAGATATTTCCTGTGTTACTGTGTATCGACAAAGTTAATGCACAGTGTGGATTGAAATAATTCAAACAGCAGGAAGATTTTTTTTATTTTTAGCAAAGTGTTAAACGGGTTAAATTAAAGCTGTGGAAATAGAAGCAAGAACAAGGATTTCTGAAATACTTCTGTTAGACTCAGTTGTTTATGCAATGTTAGCGTTTAAAGAAAAATTATGTTTTTAAGACTTTTGATCTTTTCAGAATTGTAAATTATGTTCCAATTATTGATTTTCTAGTTTAACTTTAACAAATGACTTAAAGTAATGAATGTCTCTGCTTTGGATAAACAAGTAGCAGCGTTTTCGAAAAATTAGGTTTTGCCATAACATTTCTGAGAAGTCTGTCCATTGCCAGGACGGGTATACAATAATTCAATTTTTCTAAAAATCATGAATTCAGGTGTTTGGGTTGAACTAGAATTGAACCCAACACAGTACTCTGTTTGAGTTTTATTTAATAAAGTTATGTCCAACACAAACCTACTAAGATTTAGCACAAATATAGGTTTGATACTTCTTCAAATCAGGATGAAATGTTTTTCACTTTATCTAATTTCCTGTTAGTTCAACTACTTCAAAAGTGGTTACAGAATGAGATTCATATAATTAATTATTTTGATGCTTAGAAATACAAAATGACTGCTGCAGTTAAATCAGGTTAATCAAAGAATACATAAAGTAAAATCTAAACAATTATAATACTAATTAGAGATTGCCACTAAATCGGGTAAAAATGCTGGAATGATAGAATTGCTCAGAGTGCAAAACATGAATGAATTAAAAGATTCATGATACACTTAAATTAAAGGGGATACTGTTGTCACCAGAACCATGTAAACAGCAAGGTGAG